CCCCCTCTCTCTCTCTGGCAAGTGCACATATCCTCTTGCAAAAAAAAAAAAACCTCAGATTATATAATTTCATTTATATGAAAAGAACAGAATAAACAAATCTATAGAGTCAGAAAGTGGGTAGTAGGTAGTAGTTGCCTGGGGATAGGCTACAAGTAAAAAAGGGGTCTTAGGGGCCGGCAAGTGGCATGGTGGTTAAAGGTGCTGGACTCCCATATGGCCAACCGGTTCAAGTCTCGAACCTGGTGGCTTGCTTTCTCACTTCTCTCTGTCTCTCTCTGATCAAACTGAAAAATAATAATGATAATAATAATAAATAAAAAGTTAAATAATTCTTTTTTAAAATGGGGTTTTACTTTTGTGTTGATGAAAATATTCTATAATTCTTGCTCATCCACAGTGGCGTATGCTACTAAGACACTTACTCTGAAGCAGAGGTCATATGGGAGGCCTCAGTTCGATTCCTGGCCCAACCTACATGTGGTGACACATGCTTGTGGTTCTAACTAGCAAGTAGGCTGGAGCAGGAGGGATCCCTATATGGTGAAATCCTGTCAAAGATCTATTTCTCAAGACAGGCAGTGGCACACTGGTAACACAACTGGATCCTGGGTTCGCACCCTGGAATCTCGCTGAGCATGTCATAGGTCATGGGTACATGTGTGAATGCCTGTGAACTGGGCTGGCTAAGACTAGAGGCAAACTTTTGCTTTGGGACCCTGTTGGGAGTGTCTGTCTCAATTTGCCTCTCACTTATGAGAAGAAATTTTTTTTAAAATCAATCTCTTTCTCCCCTCTTCAGCAAGGGAAAAAAGCAAATAACCTATGATTAGCTTGTGATGATGACTACACTTCTGTGTAGACTTTAAATGGATATCAGGGTATGTGAATTACATCTTCATAGAGCTGTTTTTCTTAATTTAAGTATTATTTTATTTCATTTTATTCATTATCATTATCATTTTTTTTTTATTTTAACCAGAGAGACATAGAGAGGGAAAGTGAGAAAGGAAGCCATCAGGTCCAGAACCCAAACCACAGTTGGCCATGTGGGCGTCCAGCACCCTAACCACCATGCAATCTGCTGGCCCCCATAGAGCTATTTTTTTAACATACAATTTATTAATGTAATTTATGTTTATTATATGCATTTTATTTTTTCCCCAGAGGACAGTTTGTTGGTCCTTAAAGATTTAGCCCCTTACATGGGCTTTGGTGGAGGGCAAGAAGCAGCACCCACAGGTCTAAATTGGGGTGGGGGTGTTTGGTCCTTCCAAGTTTCACCAGATTGGTTCTTGATGACCTTGCTATGAATGGTGCAACTCACACAGTAATGTAGCTTCACACACAGCTTGGGGAGCACACAGGCCTCGGCACTTGCTTCAGAGATGTTTCTGATGACTGAGGCCTCTACTATGTTTCGGATGATGGACTTCTTTTTTTTTTTTTTTCCATTTCTTATGTCTTGTACATTTTGCTTTTTTTCCTTTCTCTCTCTTTATTTATTTATTTATTTATTTATTTTGCCATCCTTGATTCCCTATCCCTAACCCTCTGCCATGTCCCACCCTCCTCCCATTGTCTCTGGTATCCATGATTGCTTTCTATGAACTTAATAGCCTTGTCCTTGGGGACACATCAGGCACAGTTCGTGCAACGAATAGGCTGTGTATGACTGCAGCCCTTTTGGGCACGGCCATTGTTCCTTCTTTTCTTTGTCATCTGGGAAGCGAGGCTGTGAGAGAGCTTTTTTTGAGAGATTTTTGCTATGGGGCATGTGCACTTGCCAGAGAGACAGAAAGAAAGTGCCTCACTGGGTGCAGCCGCCCGCAATCCCTTCTCCTCCATTCCCCTCTTGGGATCTTGGGCACGCACGCACATGCACCAGGCCTGAGTTTTAAGCTGCCAGGTCCTGGACTCAAACCACGATCTACTACATGGGAGTCCAGCAACATAACCATTACGCCAACAGCAGGTCCCGCCCACAGAGCTATTTCTTAAAAAATCACAATAAATGAACTGCCTAGGTCTGAGAAACACTCAGATTCTCTTTTATTTACTTTAGGTTGTTGTTATAGGGTGGGCACAAGCACTCTCTGGAGAGAGGGAGAGGAAAGAAAAGTGAAAAATCACTTCCTGGGGGGAAGACCACACCACAGTTCCTTCCCTCTGGTCTCCTCTTGGGTTTTAGGCAAGCACACACACACGCCCAGTGTGATTTTCAAGTCACTGGGTCCAGGACTCAAACCGCACTCAACCATGTGGGAGTCCAGAGCTTATGCCACTATATCACCTGCTGGCCTCCAATTCTCTTTTAAAATAGTGATATGGTTTAATGTACTATTATATGACAGGTAGCCAAATCAACAATGCAAAGACTGAAAATAAAGGGACATAGATTCATCAGAAAATACTAACAAAATGAAAGTTATACAGCTATATCAAGATCAGAAAAAAAATAGATTTTGAATAAAGTAAGCATTATTGGAGCTAAACTGCATAACGAGATTAGGCTTATACTCACCACTAGAATCCCCATGTTCTCCAATAATCCAACCATGACAGCTTGTGGCGTGAACACCCAACTTCTCTCCAATTAGATAACGAAAACGGGCAGAATCGAGATTACAACCACTTCCAATTACTCGAGTCACAGGTAGGCCACTTAACTTCCAGACCACATATGTCAAAATATCCACTAAGGAGAACAATTCCATGTTAGAAAAAGAAACATAATGGGGCCGGCAGGTGGCTGGTGGTTAAGGGTGCTGGATTCCCTCATGGCTGACTATAGTTCAAGTCCAAGAACTGGCGGCTTGCTTTCTCCTTTCCCTCTCTCTCTCTCTCTCTCTCACTCTGTCCCTCTCTGGTCAAATTAAAATAAATTAATTAATTAAATTAAATTTATAAAGAAACACAGTAACTTCTTTTCATAATTTGCTTTTATGACTAGATAGATGAATTTTATTAGAGTCAAATGCAGATTCATTATAGAGTTCAACATGACAATCAATAAAGAAATACAGACACATAGGCTTTTTTAAAAAACACTAAATTGTTTACTTCCAGAAATTTTTTAATTTTATTTTTTATATTTAATCACTGTGTATAATTACAGCATAACAAATTAATTTTCCCTTTATGAATACACTGCATATTGGTCCAGTCAAAGACACTGGCACACACATTATAATCAACAGATTTCTTTCCATTTGGGGTCCCTTAAATGTTTTGCTTCTTTTTTTTTTTTTTGAAGAGGTTTTTGCTATAGGGCGCGTGTGCTCGCCAGAAAGACAGAGACAGACAGAGAAACAGAAAGTGAGAAATCATCCCCCAGGAGGATGGCAACGCCGCAATCCTTTCTCCTCTATTCTCCTCTCAGGATCTTGGGCACGCATGCACACACTCCTGGCATGAGTTTCAGCCATCGGGTCTGGGACTTGAACAGCAGTTGACTACATGGGAGTCCAGCACCACAGCCATTATGCCAACTTCTGGTCCCATGTTTTGCTTCTTTTTTCTTCCCCTTGATCCCCTCACTCTCACCTTCCCTATACCTCCAAAATTAAAAAAAAAAAAAAAATCCTCTCTTGAGATCCTATGTAAGCCTGTGTATTGAATAATCAGTCAATTCTGCCTCCTTAGATTTCTTCTCTTCGTTACTGCACCCTCATCTAAACTATCTGCACATCTTCCCCAGAAAAATGCCACTGCACACCCAGGGCATGTGCATTCTCAGGAAAACGATAAGACCCTCAGCTTTTGTTCTGTACCGACCTCGAGGCTCTGCGTGATAGAAAGTAAAAGCTGAGGGACAGCTGTAAACACCCCAATACACACACACCTCCAGCAAACACTAGGAGATATTTTTGGCTCCAGGCATTTAGGAGAAGCTGACCACTAAGCAAATGGAGCAAAGACTTCTGTGGCCATGTATAAGAGAAAATATAGATGTTACAGAATTAGTTCATAAACATCCATGAGACAAACATGCAGTAACTACAATAAGCAGCAATAACTACAAAAAGCAGTCCAGGACCTGGCAGCTTGCTTTCTCACTTCCCCTCTCTCTCTGTCTCTCCATGGTGAGCACATGTGCTCAATAGCAAATTAATGATAATAATAAATAATAAACAAATAATTCTTTTGGGGGGAGATATGTTTTTGCTGTAGGATGCGTGCGCTCGCCAGAAAGACAGAAAGCAAGAAATCATCCCCGGGGAGGGGGGGGTCGGGGTATGGCCATGTTGCAACCCCTTCTCCTCCGTTCTCCTCTCAGGATCTTGGACACTCATGCACACGCACCTGGCATGAGTTTAAGCCACCAGGTCTGGGACTCGAACCACGGTTGGCCACATGGGAGTCCAGTTACATAGCCATTACTCCAACTGCTGGTCCCTAAATAAGTAATTATTAAAACAAACAACAACAACAACAACAAAACAAAAAAACACCAGACATATGCACATGCCTAGGATCCTGGCTGGCTAGAGGACTGAAGGAAGGGGACCGCAGTATGACAAGAGCCTATGGAGGGTGCTCCTCTCTTTTTTTTTTCCTCTCTCTCTCAAGTACATATACATACTCTATCATGAGTTTTTTAAAATAAAATTTTTAAAAAAATAAATGACATAGAAAGATGGGACCAGCAGTTGGCATAATGGCTATGTTACTGGACTCTCATGTAGTCGACCGCAGTTTGAGTTCTGGACCCGGTGGCTTAAACTCACGCCGGACACATGTGCGTGCATGCCCAAGATCTTGAGAGGAGAATGGAGGAGAAGGGATTGCGGCATGGCCATCCTCCCTGGGGGGTGATTTCTCACTTTCTTTCTGTCTCTGTCTTTCTGGTGAGCGCACATGCCCTATAGCAAAAACCTCTCAAAAAAAAA